ACTAACTGGAGCTAACTAACTGGAGATGTAGTTGTAGTTGTAGGTGTAACTGTAGGTGTAGCAGTAGCAATATGCTTATCAGAGTCAACTGGAGTAATTGTAAACTTAGCCTAGTTATCTTTGGAGTTTTCTAGGTTGTAACCAGATCATTTTCATCGCAAAAGTTCTTTCTAATTTTAATTTTTTGTGACGGACCGTGGCTTGTAGGTTGTAACCATTCACCACAAGTTTCACATTGATTTTAAAAAAAAAATTAATATTGATAATTGAACTTGGATGGAAACCAAACACAATTTAGGTCACCAAGTGTGTATATATTGATGTTTAGGTTTGTAACCATTTTTTTTTAGATAGAAGGTATCTAACCATCTTCTAAGTTGGAACTTTTACTTTCTCCTTCCCTTGATTTTTGTGTTTTCATCACTTGGGTTAATTTGGAGTTGAGGATATACAATTTATTGAGAAAAATAATGAATACTTAGTAGAAAAAAATTAGTGGCAAAGTAGTAAAGAAAAAAGGAAGTTTTTTTTTTTTTGTTGTTGAAAAATTAGGAATAATTTGAAAGTACATGCATGGATAGTAGATTATTTAGTTTCTCCATTTAAATTGCCATACAAACAACATAATTATATAAAAATCTATACAAAATGACTTGACAAATTTATAATACTCTATTTCAAACCAAAAATCTTATCAAAATGACTTATTATTTCAAGGTAAAAGGGGGATTTTTTTTTGGGTCCCTGTTATTAAGATTTTATAGTATAAAGGACGCTCAATGTTTTCATAATGTCTAAGGTCCCTCAATATCAATCTAGAGAAAATTCGATCCAGAGAAAATTTGATCCAGAGAATTTCTCTAGACCAATCACAGAGAAAATTCTAAATTTCTCTGGACACATCACCAACACCAAATTTCTCTGAACATATCGCAGAGAAAATTTTATACATGACCTACACCAAATTTCTCTGGACACATCACAGATAAATTTTACACATCTCCAACACCAAATTTCTCTAGAAGAGAATTTGAGAAAGAGCACAAATTATGATATATTACCATTACAAAAGAAGAGCTGAAGAAGAACCCAACCTATCAAGTAAATTGAGAGAGAGAAAGAAAGAGATCTTTCAAAACAGCTTTCAAAAAGTACCATAGATATTTGTAAAAGCTCTTATCAACAATGGCCTTTTCTAATTTTCCCTTCAAACCCAGAGAAATTTACAAAAACCCAGAGAAAATTCCTTTCAACCTAGAGAAATTTACAAAAACCTAGAGAAAATTCCCTCAAAACCAAAGAAATTCACAAAAACCCAGAGCAAATTCTTTTTAACCTAGAGAAATAATATTGTGGATCAGAGAAAAATCCTGCTACAGGTCCAGATATCAACTAAACACTATATCTTTAACTTTGGATGTCCAATAACAAGCATTTTGTGGTAAACTCAAAACAACAGGACAACAATAGTCATGGAGCCACATTATATGTGCACAATGCTGATTTTGATACATTTAGAGATCCTTGCATTTATGTACAGTGCAACATAGTGCAATAATTAACTTACCATATCCTTCCATGGAGATGGTTTGCAGATCCCCTCCAAAATATCTGACATATAAGTGGCTTATTGGAATCTCATATCCATAACTAGCCATTGTTGCTACATTGGCTGTTCCAAGTTCTGACTACTCATCCATGGGATTTATGGTAGTACTGTAAAGATATGTAAACATATCTCTAGATTTCCAGAATTTCTCTGGAGGAAGAAGATGATGAAGGCTTGAGTTAAAAATTTATCTAAGAAGTCTAGAATTTATCTGGAGAGAAATTTCAATTTTCTCTGCCTTGTTTAAAATTGTGAACAACACAGAGAAATTTTTCTCTGGTTTGATTAAAACAATTTCTCTGAACTTACTCTTTCCAGAACCCATTTTCTTTGCTAAGAAAAGAGTTTTTTTCACTGCAACAAGGGCTTTGCTCTCAACTTCTTAAGGAACAGTTTTAAAGGATTTTCATAAAAGAAGAACTCTCAAGGTATTTTTCATGAAAAGAATTTTCATGAAAAATGACACAGGAGCAAGCAAGTAACCTCCCCAATGTCACTTTCATCACTCTCTCTCTGTCTTTCTCTGTTTAATGGCAACTTTGTGGCCTCTCTTCCCCTCCTTCTCTATTTAATGGCAACTTTGTTGTGGCCTCCATTCCTCTCATTATCACAATCTCACACCCAGAAGAAAAAACTCATCTCAGTCTCATCATTGATCTCTTACTATTATATATATATATATATATATACCCACATAAATGGACTTACCCAATTCTTTTCACATGAATGAATCACTATAAGGATTATTGACTAGGGTTTTGGATTTTTTTCAAGTTGGGTCTTTGACTTAATTGACTAGGGTTTTGGATTTTTTTCAAGTTGGGTCTTTGACTTAATTGTTGGTTATTATGTACATACGTATACGGAGATATGAAAGTGTTTATATGATTGAAAGTTGGGAATTGGGTGTATTGGACCGAAAGAGAAGACATTGTCCAAGTGTTTTTAGTGAGTGAAAGCCACGAATTTCAATTGCTTTGGAGGATTCAAAATTGAGGGAGAAGGCTCGCAAGATCAATGGCGATCTCGACGTCAAGCTCTCTTCTTATGCAAAGCTCGGCTCTAGGTTCTTCCATGGAGGTTCCCTTCTCCCTCTCTCTTTCTACATATACATACTTACATATGTATCTATTTATGCATCTTTGATTCTCAGATCTTACCTTATGAATTCAGTTTGCAAACAAGGTTTGATTTGAGTCAAATTTCTCTGTGATATATGAGTGTGAGAGTTGAGGGACTTTAGACATCATAAAGTAATATTGTGGATCTCTTTCATTATAAAAAATGAGAGAAGGATCTTAGACTATTTTTTTTCTAAAAGTTGGGGAACCCAAAAAACTATTGCAAAAAGCGATCCAAAAAAGAATTGAATGGTGTAGATTCAAACTTATGCTATGTATGCTTGGGTCGAAAACATTTATAGAAAAATATTTTCTCATTTTCTAGTGTTTAGTATGACAGAAAATGAATGTTAATAGAAAAATATTTTTGTGATCAACGAAAAATAAGCTTATTTAGGTTGAAAATGTTTTTCACAATGCTTTTTACTATTTAAAGGTGAAAAATATTTTTCAAATTAAAATTTTACAAATATCATCGAACTATCACCACCACTACCATTGTCGTTACTGCCATCGCCATCCCCATTGCCACCATTGCTACTTGCTGCCACCACAACCTCACCTTGAATATAACTATTAGTACATTAATTTTAAGAACATAACCAAACATATAAAAATATTTTCTGAAAATAATTTTTTGTGAGAAATATTATCAAAAAATATTTTTCACCGAAAACAAAATATTACCCTGATGTGAGTCACATTCAAACTGCATACTTTCACATCATTCTAATAAAATTTTCTGTATAAAATTTAAATTTATTGCAAAATCATGCATAAAATTTTCATTGGCTATTATATGTGATTGCATGAATGGAAGAGCCTTGCAGCTGTCACCAAGACGGTCTTGATCATGCATATATATGATATACATCGACCAATTGGATTGAAAACTATGCTTATATATATATTTACAAAAATATTTGAAATTGAACCAAAAATAAAAAAAATTCCTAGACAAGAGGGCTAGCTAGCTCCACCCAAGCTTCACCAGCTAAGAGTAGTAGAAGAGGAGAGAATCAGAAATAAGAAAAACATAAAAAAACAAAAATAATTTGAAGAGCAGCTTCTTCAAGAAGAGGGAGGTTGGCTAGTTTAGGGTTAGAGAGAGAGCTCTTAAGCCAAGAAGATGACAAACAATTGTTTAATAAATTGTGAGAAAGAGAGCGTATTGTATTCCACAAATGGGAACAGTGCCCACGTTCTCCTCATATCTTTCTCAATTTCTTTATTTTTCTGTCTCTCTCTCTCTCTCTCCCTCTCTCTCTCTCTCTATATATATATATAGTGTTAAATACATTTTTTTAAAAAATTTCTACACACTTGAAAAGAAGAAAAAATTATGAAGAAATTTTAAAAAAATTTAATAAATACAAAAAAAGAAGAAAATATACTCTTTTTTTATTCAGTGAATTAAAAAAAAAACCAAAAATTATACTCTTTAAGTAAATCTCAAAAGTTTAAAAAAAAAACATATTAAAATTTTTTACCAAAAACCAAAAAGTATGAATTGAAATTTGAGAACTTAAAAATTATTTTTGAAAACTCCAAAAACCAAACAGATTGCAAATTTTGTATTTTATTTGGTTCCCAAACCTGGTGCTGAACAAAATTAATTACAAAAATTACCTTCGTAAGATAAATTGTCTAAAATATCCATAGTTCTATTATGAATTTAGATGGGGGAAAATTAATGAAACATCCCTTTCCAACTTTGTGTAGTAGAAGAGGTTTAAGTTATATTTTTTTATTAGTTAAAGTCTCTCAATATTTTTACAGAGAAAATTTGACTCAGAGAAATTTCGGTCCCGGCTCAAAGAAATTTCAATTTTCACAGAAAAATTTATTCTCTGTGAAATCAGAAAAATTTCTCTGTGAAAATTGAAATTGCTCTGAGTCGGGCAAATTTTCTCTTAGTCGAATTTTCTTTGTGAAAATGTTAAAGAATTTTAACTATTATGAAAATATTGTATGTCATTTATCTTTTAACATCTCGATATTAGGGACCTTAATTTTTTTTTTTCTTCTTTTAGATAGTGTCAAGCTTAGAGACTACATAAAGACACATTTTATATTTTTGAAGATCAAATTGACACAATTGAAAAAGTGAGGATCAAAATGATACACAACGCATTTTTCAAGAATTGAAAATCTATTTTAATTTTTATAAATGTAATTCAAGTGCACCCCCTCTTGTCTCTTGACAAAATGTTGTGTATCTGCCCAAGGAATTAATATATACCCTCTCCTCTCTTGTGAACCTCCATAAATACTCCTATCTCCAGACTCTATCCCCTCTCTCTCTTCTCTCTCTCCCTCACACCATTTACAAGTCTCAATTACAACTAAACAAGACCATACTCATTTTCGCAGTGTTTATGTGATCATGGTAACTCTCTCTCTCTCTCTCTCCCCCCATGAAAAATCTTAGTTCTTTTTTCCTTTCTTAATTTTGATGGGTTTTTGATTTTGATGGTGCTGTAGGGAATTCAGAAGCCGGCATGGTTAGAAGCCCTCTGCACGCAGAAGTTCTTTGCAGCCTGCCCAATTCACGAAAACTTGAAGAAGAATGAGAAGAATGTTTGCTGTTTGGATTGTTGTACCAGTATTTGCCCTCACTGTGTTCCCTCTCATCGATTCCATAGGCTTGTTCAAGTTCGTCGCTATGTATACCATGATGTTGTCCGATTGGAAGACCTCGAAAAGCTCATAGACTGCTCTAATGTGCAGGTTACTCAAACAAAAAATTCATATACTTTTTTTCCCCCTCTATTTTCTTTTAGTACACAGAAATAAAACACGAGAAAGTCCTAGCGTTTTTATTCTACGACTTTTATGTGATTTATTTCTCTATGCTAGACTTTCTCAATTTTATTTTATTTCATGTTTGTATCAGGCTTATACAATCAATAGTGCTAAGGTGGTTTTCATCAAGAAGAGGCCTCAAAACAGGCAGTTTAAAGGGTCTGGAAACTATTGCACTTCTTGTGATAGAAGCCTCCAAGAACCTTACATCCATTACTCTCTAGGGTGCAAGGTAATAAAAGTTTATTTTTATAACCAAAAAAAAAAAAAAAAAAATCATCAAATTAATTTCACAATAATATTTTTGAAATTACGAGTCACAGTAAGTAGTGAATTATTTGTTTAAATAAAATTATCACAAAATGTCATATTAGTATTAGTGATACGATTTAATTTTTGTTCAATTATCTATCATTAGTGAAATTTAAGAGTCAAACTAAATCAAATCAAGTCTTGTGTTCTAATAAGTAGCCATTCACATGAATCATTTATTTTCACTTAGTTCTATCTAAGATAAATGTTCATTTAAATTAAATAAATTTATATATCAATATATATATATATTTTAGATTTTTGTTATAAATGACAAAATCATGCTAATCTCAACAAAATTAAGAGCATACAAGCAAATTATACTAGTGCTTCTCAACAAAATCATGCTAATCTCATGGAACAAAATCAAATTTTTATACGTAGATTCAATTGCTGAATTGTACTCGAATGATGTGCACAACGTCCACCCATGTTGTACTAACACAAATATTCAAACACTAGAGATTAATTTTATTAATGATAAATTGTGATGATCAAAATATTCTCTTTTATTGTGTTTTTTGATAATTTAGGTGGACTTTGTGTTGAAACACTACAAGGACCTCTCTCCTTTCATAAGAAAATGCAACACTCTCCAACTCAGTCCAGACTTCTTTGTCCCTCAAGACATGGGAGATGATGACATGACTAATGAGACACCGCATTCGACAATTGTCGACTGCGATGACGAGCCCATGTGCTGGTCCTCGGGCTCGTCAGGGTCTGATAACACGAGTATGGCATGCACTGGCTTCGTTCGGAAGAAGAGAAGTGGTTTATATGTGTGTGGAAGATCAGTTAACAAGGTTTCAGAGGAGGACATGGCCACAAGCATGAGTAGAAGAAAAAGCATTCCACATAGGTCTCCTTTGTGTTGAAACTAGGATTTGAAATATCGGCTGATGTATTGGTCGATACTATGTGATTTTAGTTGATATATGATCGTATGCCAATACTAATACGTACTCCGATGTTATTATTTAAAATTGAGTTGAAGCAATAAGAGCAACATTTTACCACTTTGAGTTTTTTTTTTTTTTTTAACTGACTTACTTTAAGCCTTTCTCTCTCCTCTCTCTAGGGTTTTGGGGTTTAATTAATTACTTGGTCGGGGGGCTTGTCTTAATGGCATCACGTGATTCCCAATTCCAAGTTATGGTTTTGTACATTTTTCTAAGATTTTTTTTAAAATATTTTTTTTTTCATTTTTTTTTTTAAAATTTCATATTAGATGCATGATTTGTTATTAATTCATAGTCATGAATTGGAGGGCCTTCTTGTAGTATTCATCTAAACTTTCTTGACGTCTTCATTAGATTGCCATATACATGTTATGTATGTATACATACAAAGCACAACATACGAGTATTCAATAAATATATTCATGCATTCATCCTTATTTTGATTATGAAAATATTTGAATAAATATAGAAAATAACAACACAAAAGTAAATATCATTTCCAGAATCACCACTCTACCTCCTCACCGCCGCCACTCCACCTCTAGCTCCTCTACTACCTCACCACTACTACCATCACTATTGCCTCCTTCTCCTCGTCTCTACCCCATCACTATCGCTACCACCCCACCAGCACCCAACCACCACTTTTATTTATTTATTTATTATTTTTTATTAGCAAAAGAGAAATTTATTGATAAAAAACCAACATACAAGAAATACTAAGATAAATATTAATTGCATTTTGTTTGTTCGCTTGGGGATGCAAATGATTGGCCATGTGATTGAATGCCAACCCAGTTGGATGCTTCATTTAGGCAATGATGCAATTGTTCAATTAGCTTCTTCATTTTCCTTCTTGTAATCTTTCTATATTTTTAATACAATTCTCTTTATTGATAAAAAAGAAAAAATTAAAGTAAAATTAAACGATCACAAATAGGTTGACATGGACTAACCGACCACCACTACCACCAATTCATATCATATAAACCTTCATGTGTCAATGAGTAGAGTACCCTCACGAAGGGCATGACATGCTGAATTCTACTTTATTTGGATTTGCTTAAGTTGAGATCATCAAGAGGCGACTTGGGAGTTGCTGTAAAATATCTGGTTGGAATTGAATTTCTAGTGTTAAAATTTTGTTGATCAAAGATTCAAATTTTCCTACACGCAACATTGACTCCTTACACGATCTCTCTCTCTCTCTCTTCACTTTGGAAATTCTTTGTTAATTTCTTCTCCTTAAAAAAATGGTGGTGTTATTCTTTAATCCTACAATCTTTGTCACCTCGTGTAGGTCTTAGTAGTATCAATATCTACAAATGCAAGAGCTTCCACCGTGACTTTGACCATATATATAAATATATGGAAACTTATAGAATTGGAAAACTCACTAAAAGTTTATCAAAAATTGTAAATTTATGGTGTATATTTAAAATTCTTGTTGGGGGGGGGGGGCCACTTCTTTACTTAGGTCGTACATTTTAAAATTTGGGTATCTTCTATTTATTTATTTTGTTTATTTTGTACATATATAAACAATATTGCTAGGCACAGAAATATCAAAGAAATATCTAAAGAAAAATTATTGTGTAATTTAGATTTATTTTACATATTAATCTCAAAATATATAATTTAAATCTAGATCACAGAGTCCTTTTTTCAATATTTTTCTACGCACCATTTATGTACATATATGGCCCATTTGGGGATAGACGGTAACTTACAAGTTAAAAAGTTATTATAAAGACTTTGTTTTGAAAGTTGATTATTTTAGCCTGTGTTTGGCAAGTAGGTTTGCAGGTTTTTTTGGCTATTTTAGCCACAAAAAACAAAATAGGCTATTTTAGCCATAACAAACAAAACATCACATCCAATCCATAATCATTACATTCTTCTCTCACAAAAAAACTCAAAAAAGCTAAAAAGCCCTTCCCAAACCAAGCTTTTAAGCCCAGGCTAAAATAGCCAAAAAAGCCAAAAAGCCAAAAAGCCAACCCACTTCCCAAACGGAGGCTTAGGTTATTTTAGTTTTTAACTATTTTAGTAAGTTAAAAAATTTGTATTTGGGAATAGAGTTGGATTTTTTTGTAATTGAATGTGATGTTTGTGAGAGAAAAAATAAAATAATTTTGGATTTGATATGACATTTTATTTTATTAACTATTTTAACTTATTTTATCTTTTTGTAAATTTTAGGCCCAAAAAAATTAATTTTTAACTTTCCAAACACCCTTAAATTATCACATTACTCTCTAATTTTTTTATACGGTATTTTATAAAATATATATATATATATCAATTAAAATAATTAATTGTCAAACCATTCCATAAAACAGGCAATACCATCACTGCATAGAGAGCCGGAGAGGAGAGAGGAGGTGGGAAAAGGTGATTGAGTTTACACCGGTATTCTTGACCAGTCAAACTTTAACACACTTGACATTTGATTAATATTTAAGCAATGGAAAGGGTATCATGATGTTTGTACAATTGTACTTTGTAATATATAGTAAATTAATAAGTAGAGTTATGAAAAGTAACTAATTTTTGTGTCATCAGCTTGTGGACGCCCAATCATAACATTGCATGTGGCATCTACAAACTTGTTAATGAGGGGATAATTGCCTAATAGTTACATGTAAATCTACAGTTCCTTCTTTAATCTCTACAAATCAAAGTGATGTTTGACATGTGATATTCTTCAGCCAAGACATTTTGTGTAGGTATAAGAAATATGAATCTTTTGCCTAATAGTTAGTTACATGTAAATCTACAATTCCTTCTTTAATCTCTTCAAATCAAAGTGACATTTTGTGTACAAGAAATACGAATCTTAATTTGAAATTATTATATAAAATACATAAATGTCATGTCCTGAGGAAAAAAATATATATAAAAAAATATTCGTAATTTTGAATTGTTTGACTTGGTATGATGTGTTGTCAAAAATAAATTTAATCTACATATTTCAGATTTTTGACATTGTTTTGAATTTTTTTTCTAAATATATAGCATGGTAGGATTAATATGCGACCGTTGATGGGTTAATTGTGTTAATGTACTTTATGATACATATACACAATACATGATGTGTCGCTCTTTTCTATTATTGCTTACTAGATACCCACAATTAGTTCCTTATTTGTATATAATCATCAAAGAAATATTGAAGCAAAAAAATATCTTATCACGTATTCAGTAATTTATATTATTGCTTGTAGTAAATAATTTTTTTTTTTGTTAACCAAAAAGTAATTTTTATTTATTTTTTTTTAAAGTCTTGTGGACGCCCAATCATAACATTGCATGTGGCATCTACAAACTTGTTAATGAGGGGATAATTGCCTAATAGTTACATGTAAATCTACAGTTCCTTCTTTAATCTCTACAAATCAAAGTGATGTTTGACATGTGATATTCTTCAGCCAAGACATTTTGTGTAGGTATAAGAAATATGAATCTTTTGCCTAATAGTTAGTTACATGTAAATCTACAATTCCTTCTTTAATCTCTTCAAATCAAAGTGACATTTTGTGTACAAGAAATACGAATCTTAATTTGAAATTATTATATAAAATACATAAATGTCATGTCCTGAGGAAAAAAATATATATAAAAAAATATTCGTAATTTTGAATTGTTTGACTTGGTATGATGTGTTGTCAAAAATAAATTTAATCTACATATTTCAGATTTTTGACATTGTTTTGAATTTTTTTTTTCTAAATATATAACATGGGAGGATTAATATGCGATCGTTGATGGGTTAATTGTGTTAATGTACTTTATGATACATATACACAATACATGATGTGTCGCTCTTTTCTATTATTGCTTACTAGATACTCACAATTAGTTCTTTATTTGTATATAATCATCAAAGAAATATTGAAACAAAAAAATAACTTATCACGTATTCAGTAATTTATATTATTGCTTGTAGTAAATAAATTTTTTTTTTGGTTAACCAAAAAGTAATTTTTTTTTTTTAAAGTCTTGCTAACAAGTATAAGATTCAAGACATTTTTTATTATTTTTAAAACACTTTTTAAAGAATTTATTTATTTTTAAATTTTTTTATCATTTAAAAATATTATTTACACTAATTCTAATATTAAATAATGATCAAGAGACACTTGTTAGTATTTAGTTGTTATTGTTGTTATTATTATTAAAGCTATATATCAGTTCCATTTTACCTGAAATGTATTGGTTGGGTCATTTACACCAGGACCTCAAGCCCATCTATGATAAGTGGCTTGGGCTAGAGAGAACTTGTGATCAACATATCAACCCATGTTCATCAATGATTTGGTGAGGCTCATCTTCAGTCTTTCTAAAATTTGTCTTGACCTAGTAATAATTTGAAAATTATAGCCAAAGGTCAATTCGGTCAATCAAGCGTATGACCACTTACATCTTCATTGCAACCATATGAATGGTTTCGGATCCTCTATTCCACCCTCCTAGTATTAACGCATCATCACAATTTGAACTCAAATGTACTTTATTTATTTTTAATAATTATGAAATTTTTGATAGCTAATTTTGGATACAAATTTTAATACTGTGAGAATATCAGTGGTGATACATACCACTAAAAAGAGAGCACTAAGCCAGCTCTAATGAACTGGCAGTGCAGGAAATAAAGAGCAAAACATCAAATCAATTGGAACTACAGTGTATTTAAAGCTATTAGAACTCATTGTTTTAGAGCTCTTAAACAATTTATTAAGAGACCAGGATAGAGAATGAGGACAAGAAAAGGAGATAAGGGATTCCAATGGCTGTAAATCTTCTGTCTTTATTCTTTGTCTCTATTCTTTGCCTCAACTCTCTATCTAATTCTCTTAATGTTATTACACAGTCACAGTTTGAATTCAATATAATTTATTTATTTATTTTTTATAATATTCTCTTAATGTTATTACACAGTCACAGTTTGAATTCAATATAATTTATTTATTTATTTTTTATAATTTAAAAAATACAACTAGTATTGGATTCAAATTTAAAGATTGTAAATACACTAAGAGGGTGGAATAGAAAGT